TGAGGGGGGATTTGATAGCAGCCTTCAACTACCTGAAGGGGGGTTCCAAAGAGGATGGAGCTCGGTCTGTTCTCAGTGGTGGCAGACGACAGAACAAGGAGCAATGGTCTCAAGTTGCAGTGGGGGAGGTCCAGGTTGGATATCAGGAAAAACTATTTCACTAGGAGGGTGGTGAAACACTGGAATGCGTTACCTAGGGAGGTGGTGGAGTCTCCTTCCTTGGAGGTTTTTAAGGCCCGGCTTGACAAAGCCCTGGCTGGGATGATTTAGCTGGGAATTGGTCCTGCTTTGAGCAGGGGGTTGGACTAGATGACCTCTTGAGGTCCCTTCCAACTCTGATATTCTATGATTCTACCTACACCAGCCCCAGGGGAAGTGCAAAACGGCTCGAGCCCTTTCCCCACAAACCCTGTGCTGCGGAAAGGCAGAGGGCACCTTTTACTGGAAATTAATGTTCTGTCAATCCTGGTTTACTTTAGGTCATTCTGAAAAATCAAAGACTACAAAAAAAAAAAAAAATCAAGCTTATGTGCTAAGGAGGAGACAAAGCTGCACTTAGCTCTTCCTTCCCACAACACCCAGAGCTCTTCACCCCCGTGGGAGTCGGTACATTGTCGTCACTGAACCTCACACAGGGGTGTTTTCCAACACAGAGCCACATCCTCCCCCTGCTCGCCTCCCTTCCTCCTGCTTTGTGCCACCTGGCTGTATACAGCAGGTAGGACACTGTCTGCACAGGCCCCTGGGGGATTCCTCACCACAGGGCTGTGTGATCAGAGCGCTGCTGTGCTCCAACCTGGGCTGGCTCTAACTTTTTTGCCACCCCAGGCAAAAAAGAAGAGCACCGCCCCGCCGTAACACACACACACACCCCCCAACGCCTCGCCGGGCACCTCGCCGCGCCGCCTCAAACCCCCGCCCCCCCAAGCGCCGCGCCGGGCTGGCCAAACCCCCGCCCCCCCAGAGCGCCGCGCCGGGCCGGGTCGCCCAAACCCTCAGAGCGCTGGGCCGCTCAAACCCCTGCCCCCCCGAGCACCGGGCCGCACCACTGAACGCCCCCCCCCAGCGCCACACCGCCGAAACACCCCCGCGCTGCCCAGCCAAAACAAAAAACAAACAAACAAAAAACCCTCGAGCACCGGCCCACCGAACAACAACAACAACAAAAAACACCGTGCGCGCCCCCTGCCACTCCAACATTGGCCGCCCCTTCTAAGGTGCCGCCCCAAGCACGTGCTTGGTCGGCTGGTGCCTGGAGCCGGCCCTGGCTCCAACCATCCCCATCCGGTGCAATGTTTTGCTTTTTGAAAGCTCCTCAGTGCTGATTCTCAAAGTCAAACAGCAATGACCCCGTCCTCCAGCTCAATCCACACCCATCACCAGGCTCTCCACGGCTCCCTCTGATTGCCTTGCCCTTCACCACCACTGGGATGGCAGCGTGGCAGAGCAGCAAGCCCTGACACACCCTCCCCACTCACTCTGGCACGCTCTCCAGGGGGCTGTGGGAGAGGAGAGCTCACCCAATCCCACATTGCAGATGGATGGGAGGAAACCCTGTGCCCCAGAATGGCCCTCTGCTGGAATACCTGCCAAAGGGACCCACCAGCCCTGCGCTGGTGGTGGGAGCACGGAGACCCACCAGGCCTGCCAGCTGTAAGTCTAGGAATTTGTTTTTGGCTGGAGACCACTTTGTTATGCTTATAAGAAGCACACCAAATCTTTTAAAAGGGGATAAGGCAATACGCCAGGTTTATTGAGAGTACAATTTAAGCATTAAAATCAGCATATGCTTCCATTCACACACACACACACACACATCCCAAAAGGTTCTGCAGCTCGATCTTATAGTTACCAGTCCTTAGTGTTGCTGGGTCAGTTCCAGTGGGCAGCTGAAACTGCACACGAGGGAGGGGAGTTGGGTCTCTGTCGAATGCATTCGAAGTTCCGATGTTGATGCAGCATGAACCCAAAGTCCCATGGCAATACACCCTTCTTTTATAGTAATACGTTCCCATAGAAATCTATGGACCTTGCTGTGTTGTCATAGGGCATTCCTCAGAATCTCTAGTGAGGCATTCAGGATCAATTATTAACGGCATCGGTTGCCTCAACAAAATTTAGTATGGCTGGATTTTTGTTCTCAGCCTGGCACTGCTGCGGATGGCAGCCAGGATCAAGGGCAGCTTTTCAGGCCAGTTCTTACCAGTTGTGACAAAGTTCCTCCTCTATCTTGGTGGGTCCTGCACTTACTGGCGGATTTTCTTGCCTCAGAGATTCTCCATGTGGGTTGGGGAACAGCCCAGAGACCTTGGAGAACCCACAGTCCAGGTCATTTGGGAAGTTGGGGGGAACCTGGGCCCGTCCTCTACTCCGGGTTCCAGCCCAGAGCCCTGTGGACTGCAGCTGTCTATAGTGCCTCCTTTAACAGCTGCATGAGAGCTACAGCTCCCTGGGCTACTTCCCCATGGCCTCCTCCAAACACCTTCCTTATTCTCACCACAGGACCTTCCTCCTGGTGTCTGGTAACACTTGTGCTCCTCAGTCCTCCAGCAGCACACCTTCTCACTCTCAGCTCCTTGCACCTCTTGCTCCCAGCTCCTCACACTCGCACCACAAACTGAAGTGAGCTCCTTTTTAAAACCCAGGTGCCCTGATTAGCCTGCCTTAATTGATTCTAGCAGCTTCTTAATTGGCTCCAGGTGTCCTAATTAGCCTGCCTGCCTTAACTGGTTCTAGCAGGTTCCTGATTACTCTAGTGCAGCCCCTGCTCTGGTCACTCAGGGAACAGAAAACTACTCATCCAGTGACCAGTATATTTGCCCTCTACCAGACTCCTGTACCCCACTGGTCTGGGTCTGTCACACAGTGTAGTCTACTACTTTCTGCAGTGCTTCCTTAATGGTGCAATTTATTCTCTCCACCAGTCCTGAGAATTGAGGTCGGTAGGGGATGTGAAACTTTTGCTTAATTCCTAAGGCATGCATCATCATGGTAAAGATTTTCGCCAGAAATGCACCCCCATTGTCTGCATCTATAACCTTGGGGGTCTCCATACCCGCATACCACTTTGGTATCCTTTCCATCAGCTGCTTTCCACCCATTTCTTTGCCAGTCATACATCCAATAGTGTTTCCCCTTCACACAAAATCACTATCTGCATAGATATACACAGGGCTGGGGGGAGCCTTCATACTGTTTTAAAACTTGGTATCTAGCGTGAAGTTGAGCATAAGCCAAATGTCCCTGAATAACCTCCTCTTCTAGGTTAATAGCGGCATATTTAATCCATCTTTTCCCTTTGATTACCATTGTACTCCCATCAATAAACCAAACGTGTTTTTCCTGCCTGCAGTATCCAATTCCTCAAGAGGGGGGGCTTGCACTAAAGCAATCCCCTGTTCCAGAGTGATCTCTGGGCTCTCATGTTTATTTCCTTTTTCAATGAAAGCGTGCGTCAGCATGTCTGGTTTGGACACTGTTTCAGTAGCGACTCCTCTGTTAACTAGAACGAGGGTCCACTGGGCGATGCGGGTATTAGAAACCTTACCTCCCATCAGTGTGCCTGACAGCATATATTTACGGGGAGTGTGAGTACTTTGAATAGTAATGGGCGCTGTGCCTGTGAGGGGCTCAAAGGACTGTACTGCCCAGACAGCTGCTAGACATTCATGTTCACAGGGATCAAAATTTCATTCTGCGCCTTGCCGTTTCCTTGATTCATAGGCTACTGGCCCCAGTTTTCTTTCTTCGTTACTTTGCAGTAGAGTAGCTGCTCGAGCGATGTCAGTAGCAGCCAGACGGATAACAAATGGCCTTGACTCCTCAGGAAAGTGCAAAGCTGGAGTTGCAGCTGCTTTTTGCTTTAAAGTGCTGAGGGCGGAACCTGTTCTAGCCATTAAGTCTTTTTCTTCAACGGTTTCCGGAAAGGAAGTGAAGTGTAATCTCAGCATACTTGTAAATATGTGGCCGCTGGAAACTGAATCCGCCCAAGGAGACTCGTAAGGAGAGTGCCGCTGTGGGGGCGGGCATTTCCAGCAGTGCCTTTTCGCTGGTCTATTGCCTGCCCTCTCTCCTGATTACTATGCCTAGGTACACGTAGCAGCGCTTGGAGGCTGGAAGTTGATTAAGATTTGCCAATTATTACTGATTTTTTTTCCCAGTAACCAATGTTTTTACATAACGTTCCTTTCCTTTGTCATTTTATGTTGTGCTTAAAATTTATGTTAATTATTTCTTTTCCTAATGCAGTATTGTAGAATCATGAATCATAGAATATCAGGGTTGGAAGAGACCTCAGGAGGTCATCTAGTCCAACCCCCTGCTCAAAGCAGGACCAACCCCCAACTAAATCATGCCAGCCAGGGCTTTGTCAAGCCGGGCCTTAAAAACCTCTAAGGAAGGAGATTCCACCACCTCCCTAGGTAACCCATTCCAGTGCTTCACCACCCTCCTAGTGAAATAGTTTTCCCTAATATCCAATCTAGATCTCCCCCACTGCAACTTAAGACCATTGCTTCTTGTTCTGTCATCTGCCACCACTGAGAACAGCCGAGCTCCATCCTCTTTGGAACCCCCCTTCAGATAGTTGAAGGCTGCTATCAAATCCCCCCTCACTCTTCTCTTCTGCAGACTAAATAACCCCAGTTCCCTCAGCCTCTCCTTGTACGTCATGTGCCCCAGCCCCCTAATAATTTTCGTTGCCCACCACTGAACTCTCTCCAATTTGTCCACATCCCTTCTGTAGTGGGGGAATGCAATACTCTTCTGGATGCAATACTCCAGATGTGGCCTCACCAGTGCCGAATAGAGGGGAATAATCACTTCTCTCAATCTCCTGGCAATGCTCCTACTAATACATACTAATACTAATAATACTTCTCTCAATCTGCTGGCAATGCTCCTACTAATGCAGCCCAATATGTTGTTAGCCTTCTTGGCAACAAGGGCACACTGCTGACTCATGTCCAGCTTCTCATCCACTGTGATTCCTAGACCCTTTTTCGCAGAACTGCTGCTTAGCCAGTCGGTCCCCAGCCTGTAGCAATGAATGGGATTCTTCCATCCTAAGTGCAGGACTCTGCACTTGTCCTTGATGAACCTCATTAGATTTCTTTTGGTCCAATCTTCCAATTTGTCTAGATCACTCTGGACCCTATCCCTATCCTCCAGCCTACCTAGCACTCCCCCCAGCTTAGTGTCATCTGCAAACTTGCTGAGGGTGCAATTCATCCCATCATCCAGATCATTAATAAAGATGTTGAACAAAACCGGCCCCAGGACCGACACCTGGGGCACTCCGCTTGATACTGGCTGCCAACTAGACATCGAACCGTTGATCACTACCCGTTGAGACCGACAATCTAGCCAGATTTCTATCCACCTTATAGTCCATTCATCCAATCCATGCTTTTTTAATTTGCTGGCAAGAATACTGTGGGAGACTGTATCAAAAGCTTTGCTAAAGTCAAGATATATCATGTCCACCGCTCTCCCCATATCCACAGAGCCAGTTATCTCATCATAGAAGGCAATCAGGTTGGTCAGGCATGACTTGCCCTTGATAAATCCATGTTGACTGTTCTTGACCACCTTCCTCTCCTCCAAGTGCTTCAAAATGGTTTCTTTGAGGACCTGCGCCATGATTTTTCCAGGGACTGAGGTGAGGCTGACCAGTCTGTAGTTACCCGGATTCTCCTTCTTCCATTTTTAAAAGATGGGCATTATATTTGCCTTTTTCCAATCGTCCGGGACCTCCCCTGATCGCCACAAATTTTCAAAGATAATGGCCAATGACTCTGCAATCACATCAGCCAACTCCCTCAGCACCCTCAGATGCATTTGTGCACGTCCAGATTTTCTAAATAGTCCTTAACCTGTTCTTTCACCACTGAGGGCTGCTCACCTCCTCCCCATACTGTGTTGCCCAGGACAGCAGTCTGGGAGCTGACCTTGTCTGTGAAGACCAAGGCAAAAAAAGCATTGAGTACTTCAGCTTTTTCCACATCATCTGTCACTAGGTTGTCCCACTCTTTCCCTGAACTTCTTCTTCTTGCTAACATACCTGTAGAAATCCTTCTTGTTACCCCTCACATTCCTTGCTAGCTGCAACTCCAATTGTGCTTTGGCCTTCCTGATTACATCCCTCTATCATCAAGCAATATTTTTATACTCCTCCCTAGACATCTGTCCAAGTTTCCACTTCTTGTAAGCTTCCTTTTTGTGTTTAAGCTCACTGAAGATTTCACTGTTAAGCCAAGCTGGTTGCCTACCATATTTGCTATTGTTTTTGCACATCGGGATGATTTGTTCCTGGTATTCTCTCTCTTTTTTTTTTAAACACAATACACAACAATGCAAGCAACAAGACAAACAACAGAAAACATAATTTTTGTTGCAACAGTAGATCCATAGTATTCTGAGTTGCTCCTCAGTTGGTATCATTTTTTTCTGAAGTTTTGAAAGCCGAGAAAAACATTTTTCTACCCCCTTGTTGGGAGGCGGCAGTTTATTGCTTAAAATACTTCTTTTTTACAAATTTCCTTGCTGATTGCAGGCAAAACAGAGGAATTACCCCCCATACTTGCCTGCGTTTTTGTTAATGGGTAGGCCATGTTTCAATGGCTTCTACCTTTTAAGTGTTTAAGGTGAATTATCCCACTGTGCAGTTATGAGGTGATGTACCTCAGTTTTCCTTTTTATACAGCAGATCAGGTTTGTAATCGCTTTTCTGCTGTGCTAAGCTTTAAGTTTATTTACAGGCAATAGCTGAGACGTATTATTACTATAATGCCTTGTTTTTGTGCTCACAGAGTTTTCATGTACTTGTATTAAAGTGACAGTGACAGTGTCAGTTAAGGCTCAGTGTTTCTAACCTTGATTCTTTGTGCACCTTTCCCCTGCTGTTGCTCCAGAGGGCACTGTCTTCTTCCCTTTTTTATTTTTATTTTTTACTGCAGCTTTGGCTGCTCCTTATTACATCCATGACTTTGGTCTTTATTTAAAAACATATTAAACTTTATAAAGCATTGTGGTACCTTAAGGGTTAAATGCTAAATACCAAAGTCAAACAACGTTAATTACACTGGTCGACAATTTTTGAGAAGTCGTCTGCTTCAGAGATAAAATGTGCTATTTATTATGTATTTTGATGTGCTGAATTCAAATATGACAATTAAAACAACTGATTGGCTACTGTTTCTAAGATATCTAAGTTTTTACATTTTAG